CCATGTTTGGACTTGAGGGCTTAGGGAAATAAAAGGAAATTAAGATATATACCAAATAATAGGGAATAAAAGCAATCCTGAAAGCAAAAGAACTTGGAGTAAATACTAAGGCAGGTTTGAATGTGGTTCTTCAAGAATAGATTCCTTTATTTCAGTTTGGGTCGACGGTATGTAAGTGACTTGGGCTGTGGATAAGACAGGGTTATCTTTTAAGTTTGAAAAGTAGGGCATAACGAATGGCCAACAGGCATATGAAAAAATGTTCAACATCACTTATCATCAGGGAAATGCAAATCAAAACTACTATGAGATACCATCTTACACCAGTGAGAATGGCACATATTAAAAAAACTAGCAACAACAAATGTTGGCGAGGGTGTGGAGAAAAAGGAACTCTCCTGCACTGTTGGTGGGAGTGCAAACTGGTCCAACCACTATGGAGAGCTGTGTGGAGATTTCTGGGCCTACTAAACATAGAGCTTCCATATGATCCAGCAATTCCACTCCTAGGTATTTACCCAAAGGACACAGAAACATCAATTCCAAAGAACACCTGCACCCCTATGTTTATTGCAGCACTGTTTACAATAGCTAAGCTTTGGAAACAGCCCAAATGCCCAAAAATAGATGACTGGATCAAGAAGATGTGGTACATATATACCATGGAATATTACTCAGCATTCAAAAAAGATAAACACATGCAATTTGCAGCAACATGGATGGCGCTGGAAGGGATCATGCTCAGCGAAATAAGCCAAAAAGAAAAAGAAAAATACCGGATGGTCTCACTCATAGCAGGAATCTAGAAAACTTAAATAAGGGACCAGGAAAATGAATAACTATAAGAAAGTGAAAATCAAAATCAACCAAAAACTATGAACCAGAGACACTTTTGGGGGGGCGGGGGTGGGAGGGGAGGGATTGAGGTCAGAATGGGGGGGCTGCAATTGTATGGGGAATATAAAAATAAAATTTATTATTTAAAAAAAAAAAGAGAAAATATCAAAATCAACAAATTACTATGAACAAGAGACACTCTATGGGGAGTGGGGGGCGGGGAAAGGAGGGCTTGGGGTAAAAAAAGAGGGTTGTAATTGTATGGGGAATATAAAAATAAAATTTAAATTAAAAAAAAAAAAAGAAAAGTAGGGCATAATACAAAGGAAAATGACTAGTTCTAGCTACAATTTTGAGGCTAACACATGGAATCAGAAATATGCCCTTTTTTATAAACTTTAAAATTATATATTCAAACTTGAGGTTTGAAAATTGTGGGTTAGATTTGATTCTCAGTAAACTTGCAGCAGTTAGATAAGCCACATTTCTGCATGTCGTTTGAGGGGAGCATGAGGTTTTTCTTGGCTGCATTTGTTTAAAACAGAAATGCAAGGCAAGTCCTTCAGGTCAGCCAAGAAAAAGAAGAGAGTAAATCTTAAATTGAACACAAAAGGAAGTCAATCAAAATACATGACATATTTGACTGTTTACAAACTTTCAAAACCATAAAGTGTTTAAAGGGTTTTAGTTGGTTTGTGCATACCATCAGGGTTCAGTGGTCCCGGGGTAGAGGCAAGGCAAAGACAAATTCATATTTTCAATATGTAGGCAGATTTTTTAAATATTAGAGTAATAGTAAAAGAGAAATAATCCCAAGTATTATTTCCTGTATTACTTAAAAGACAGATTGACATTTAACCAAATATGGTGACTTTTTAAAGTTAAACGAGCTTTCATTGTGGAAAAACAATAGTGGTGTGGACTCCAACAAAGGGATAGATGATGCTCTGTGACCTCCCACATTCTGTGGCTTCATAGGATCAGGAAATTTCTCCTCCATTTTTCGCATATGCTTTCTCACAGGCTGATAACAATATGTTCTTTGTTTGGCTTTCAAATTCACTTATTTTAAACATTTAAATGCCTCTGTGAAGGGAAATAGTTACTGTTATTCTTCACAGAAAGGATGGCCAAACTATGACATTTATGCTTTCACCTTCGTGGCAGCCTTGGCCACCTTAGATTTCTTCCAGTATATCTTATTCCAAGAATCCCTTCTTCAACACATCTGTCCATGAAGCCACTTGAAGTCAAATAGACTTGACTTGTGAATTGAAACTTGCTTCAACCTCCTAATTTATATCTCATGTAGATGTGTTTTTAAACCTTTGGATAGAGCACATTTTGAGAGTGAGAAAGGAAAGAAAGTTCACAAAAGGTTTCTGGATTTGAGAAGTCTAAGAAGTTATAGCTTCTTAGGTGGTATATAAGCTTTCCATAACTTGTTACAGAGCTGGCCATCCCGTACGGTGAATATCAACTGTCTGCCACATATTATAGGTCTTTGTGTTTGTTATGCCATTTTATTCCTTCACAGTAGCTATGTGTATGAGTGTGTTTGGGGAAGGAGAGTGGGATTTCATTTATACTATATAGGTGAGAGCGCTAAGGCCTAGCCACTAGACCATAAGGGAGTTACAGAATTATACTGTGGGGCCTCCCTGGTGTCACAAGGGGTTAAGCACCACACTGTGAAGCAATCCACAGCTTCTGCAGCAGGAGTTCTATCCCCAGCCGGCCAGGGAGCAACCCACATGGCGAAGCAGACCTCTCCTGTCTCACCCACTGCTCCCTTCAGCAATGTGTTTCAGTCAGTTGCCTGTTCTGCTCCCCGCTCTGTCTCTGGTGAATCCTCTCACCCCACAACACTGGCCTGTACCCCAGCTCTTGTATGCATAAATAAATAAATCTTAAAAAAAAAAAAAGAATTATACTATGAAGGAACCAGGGCCTTCGTGATATTAACATGACTTATTCAAGGAGAAATTGCTAATAAGTGCAAAACTATCACGTAGATCTCACGAGTTCCTATCTTTCTGCTGTACAATTCTATACAGTGTTTCCAGAGTTACATAGAATTAGATCTATATGAGTGGTGTAAGAATCTTCTCAAGGGAGTCTATATTTTCAGGGCTATGCACCTTAACAACAAAATTCAACATAAATCTGAGTGAACTGAAAACTGAAACCTCTATTTCTCAACTTTTGTTATTTCTACTCATGAGCAATAATGCTTAGACATGATGTGAAATCAAAGTATTTTTCCAGTGTGGATCATATTTGTTGAAATTTTCCTTATGAGTTTTCTTTTGAGACATTTAAATATTTCTGCTAACAATAAAATGTTCCAGTTTTACTGCACGTACCTTATGAAATTAACTACTTTGAGGAAAGCTACTTTGTCATAAATACCTCATATTGAATAAAGAAATATTTTGAGAAAAATGCAAGCTATGGTTTTAGTAAGTACTACGTTTTGAATTTCTGTAGCTTTAGAGATGCAATTCTTTTTTTTTTTTTTAAGATTTATTTATTTATACAAGCACTGGGTACAGTCAGAAGCACGGAAGGGTGAGAGAATTCACCAGAGCTGAACAGGGAACAGAACAGGCAGAGTGACGAAATACACTGCTGAGGGGAGTAACGGGCATGGCAGGAGAGGTTGGTCTCGCCATGTGGGACCCTCACTGGCGGTCGGGGATCGAACCGGCGCTGCAGAGGCTGCGGGTAGCTTCGCGGCCCAGCATTCAACCGCTGCGCCACCAGGGGAGGCCCTAGAGATGCAATTCTTAAGGTTATTGATTAGAGAAAGAGTTTTACCAAATCTTTCATATGTGGTTAAAAAAAAAACTATGTATCAGATCACTTTATGTAATCCTGTAATTATGGACCATTCTTTTCTTTTCAATTTCAGTTGATCACATAAAAGACAGTTTCAATATTCATTTCAAATCAGAAATACCAAAATTATTTTTATAGTGAATCTTCTGTGATATCGTACTATTGCCCAAGGAAAGTCAATAAATATTTATTGAGCACATACTGTGTGCCAGCATTGTACTGCCATATTAATCAGAATACTAAAAAAATTATAACCAATAGTTTCTTAGTGTCGAAAAAGGCTTTTATGCTATCTTTCTCCCATTCACAGCCAGAGTCTGCTCTGAAGAGTCTCTGACATGATCCATTACTTCTCAAATATATCATCTGATGTTCTCATTAATAATAGCAAATATACATATTGCTTGCTAGCTACTAGGCCTCCTTCTACACACGTCACATTAATTCACTGAATCCTTTCTACAATACTAAAAATTGCTGCTGAACTTTGTAGAACAGAAATCTGAGGCACAGAGGTTTAGAAACTTAACCACAGTCAAAACCAGTAAGTGGTTGAGTTAAGCTTTGAACCAGGGGGTTTCTGTGCATCAGTGTAATTAACATATGCTCAAATATCTGCACTGGATTCTCTTATTGTAATCCAGGCAGATGAGAGTCTGAATAGAGGGAGGCAGTTTGAGTGAGACAATTGAAGGGACAAGCCAAGAAGCAGACAGCTGATTAAAGGCAAAATCAAATTTAGATGTCTGAATCAATTTGTCTTTTAGAACATATTAATCTGAAAAATATGTTTTTGGGGAAGAGAAATAATCACCTTATCAACTCAGATGTAGGGTGACCATATCATGTGGTTTGAGCCAAGTGTTAAAGTGATACCATGAGTAAATGTACCAGAATAACAGGTATTCTGGTGAAACTGTGGAGCTGTCACAAAAAAAGAGTCTAAGTGATCCTGCTATTCTAGTTACCTTCCATTCATTAGAGCCAAATGCAGTCTAACTGATCCCCCTACTCTTAGTCACCTTAAATTCATGATAAAAGTCATGAAAAAGGTACTCCTGAAATACTCTTTAAGGAAGCATACCTTGTGGTTTCCAATTCTGAATGGAAATAATCCTTGGGTTTGTTCAGGACACAATTTCCAGCTGAGTTCCTTTGTTATGGATTATATACAAGGACCTACTCTCCTGTGGCCCACACATGACCCCCAAGCCACTGTAATCATTCAGTGGTCTAAAGAAAAGGATTGACTTCTTTGTAGTAACGTGTCTGGTGTCTTTCCCATTGTCTTCTGTTCATCGTTTCTGATTGCTTCCTTGTAGTTGCTACGCTCTGCGGCTGACTGGTCTGCTGGGATAAAGTACCATGAAGAGTCCATCCACACGGCTTACGTCAATGTGATAGAGCATAGCAAGCACTACATCTACATAGAAGTAAGTCATGCTCATGTGAAATAGCATGACAGCCTGCCTTTCTACAAACATACATGCAAGACCTGCTGTACTAATTTGTATTGATGTGTGAAGGGGCTTCTGTCATCTGAATTTTACCTTACCCAGCCTGCCTGACAATTCACTTTACATTTTCATTAACTAGAATCTAATAGAAGTCTCACAATTCCTTATTAAAATGCATCACCTCACTATAATATAAACCAAAGTATTCAAGTGTGGATGCATATTCTTTGATTTGGCTTGAGTTGCAGGGTGTAAGTGTGAAGGCACGTGCTGGTTTAGGAGAACACGCACAGGGGTAAGTTGCTAAAATAGAGACCCCTGGAGGCCATTGACTTGGAGATGTAGAAACAGTGCTGGAAGGGGAATATGGAAAAGAGAGATGTGAGCACATTCAAGGCAAGTACCACCTTCTTCAGATATGTGTGAACCCTGTTATTATAGAGCTTCTTCAGATCCCAGAGTTTGTGTTCAGAGAATAGGAGAAAATCTGGGCACACTGGGTTTAGTTTGGTAACCTTAACTGCACTTCAAAGTATAGCACTAAGCTTTTTTGAGAGCACTTGGAAAATCCATAAAAATGAAAAATCCATGATAGAAGTCATGAAAAATAAAACAAAACACATCTCCCATCCTTATCTTAGTCTTCTCATTCCTGTTGATTTTTTTTTTCAATGTGTGGAAGGAGATGGACTAACCCTTCTAACCTATTTTCCTTCCTCTTAAGTCCTGGCCCACTACCCTTCCATTCATTAGAGCCAAGGAGGAAAGAGTTGCAGGTTTATTTCAAGGCTTGAAGAAAAAGAGAGCTAATTAAAAATATTAGTAGACCAAATGCAGTGTGATATTCTGGATGGGCTCATGCAGTAGAAAAGAACATTAGTAGAAAAGTTAGTTAACTCTGAATAATGTCTGGAGTTTAGAAATACTAACACTTTTAGTAGTATTAATTTGAACAAATACGCCATAAGAATGTAGGATGTTAGTAACTGTCTCACCAGAATTCTTTCACTTTATCTCTTTTTTAAAATCACCTTTATTTTTATATGTACCACAGTACTTAGTGATGTCATTAATGCTATGTAGGTACTCGTGATCTTGGCCATGAGCCTAGTTGAACTCTCCTTAGCCAAAGTTAGAGGTCAGCAGTCACCCTGCTCTCGCCGCAATATGCAGTAAAGGACATGGCATGTGACAAGGGTGTGTTTATAGCTGCTGAGGAATGTTAATCTTCTTGGTAATACTCAGAAAAACAAGCATGGTTCAGTTGCTACTTAGATTTGGATTGTTTGATGCCCTAAGGGGAAACACTCTCAAACGAGTTTCTGCACAATGTCTTCTTGCAAGTTTGTCTTGTGGAGGCAGTTTGCAGGTTCATGCACCTAAGCATAGAAAGGGTATAGTAGTAAAATGCCAATGTTGTAAAAGGATGACAGTCATATTTTTCTATCAGTGCTTATGTGTCTCTTGATTTTGAGATAATTAGTCAAGATTGTTTTGTGATGACTTACCTTATTAATAACAAGTATAACAATCTATGTAAATAGAATATGTAATATTCACAATACTTGTACCCAATTCCTATAAGCAGCAGCTAAGTCTTTTTTTAGTAGCTGTTTGAAACAATGTGTTATAAATACATGAATAGCAGAAGTACGTAAAGAAAAAAGTATTTTTTCATTTTATTGCAATATATATATAAGTGCACATTTATACATATATGCACATATTTACAAAATAGATTTGAAGCTATTAAAATAGAGGCTCAGAAATAAGAAAACCAAACAAATGAGACAAGGCAAAGGCAGATACTAGGAAATAAAGAAGAATGGATGGAGAAAATTAAAACAGGACCCTGCCATCTATCCTGTTTGCAGGGAGAAAAAAAAAAAAGTAAACTTAGCATAGAATGTTTGCCAATGTAGAACTTTTAATCATAAGCATTTACATAATGTGTGAAACTGAAAAAATCAAACTTCCCTATCAATTAAGTTTAGAAAATCCCTATTCTAAGAATATAACCTAAAAGGAATTTGCATGACGAAATAATAGTTTAGCCATTTACTTAACGAAGATGTTATATGTTATATTATCTACAAATGCATGAGAACTAGTAAGATTGTTACAGGGCAGGGAGAGGGACACCCCAGAATCCCCAAATCTGCCTGCTCTAAATAGGTTCTACCATCTGCCACATCAAGACAAAACATGTAGACCTTTTTTTTTTAAAGATTTATTTATTTATGTATGGAAGAACTGGCGTACAGACCAGAGGTGTGGGGGGTGAGAGGATTCACCAGAGACAGAGTAGGGAGAACAGGGAGATTGACTGAAATACACTGCTGAGGGGAACAGCAGGCGAGTCAGGAGAGGGCTGCTACCCATGTGGGTTGCTCCCTGGCCGGATAGGGGTTGGAACTCATGCTGCAGAGGCTGTGGACAGCTTCATAGGTTGTGTCTTAACCCCTTCCACCACCAGGGAGGCCCAACATATAGACCTTTCATGGAAAGTTACTGTAATACAATTAGTGTGCAATACAGAAAAGACAAAGAATATAGTTTCCAAATTAAGCACCCGAAGTTATCCATCTCATCGTGGATAAAAGTCCAGCCAAACAGGATTGGCCCAAAACAAGGCTCAGAAGCCTGCCCCAAGTCTAAAGCACCTTCCAGGGAGGCAACCCATGGAAAAGGGTCAAAAGCAGTCAGACAAGTCTGGGAGGAAAAGAGCAAAATCAAAATCAAGATAAAAGCTGCCATTGTTAACCTCCCCACGGCTCTCTCACCCACATCTCTTTCAGCCAGTCCATGACCAAAAGAGCAAATGTCTCTCTGCTCCAGGTGCCTCCTCCAGGTCTCCTTCTTGCTCCACATCCTGCTTCCTTCCTTCCCCAGTCTTCTGTCCAGCTTCTTCTCGTCTCTGCTCAGCTCTACCTTCCTGGGGATCCTGGAACCTCCCCTTTTCCTGGGGACCATCTTGTTACAAGATGAGGACTTTTTTATTCTGTCATTTACTTTCCTGTAATGATTATAGTAATTAGGACATGGCTACTGTGTAAAACTTTTTAAAAATATAACAATATAGTTTTTGTTATATATATGCCACATTAGTGTATACAAGTTGGATATAAAGAATGCATATACTGAAATCAGAAATGCATGATTATCCTATTTATTTCTCATAGAACCAGTTTTTCATAAGCTGTGCTGATGACAAAGTTGTGTTCAACAAGGTTGGTGATGCCATTGCCCAGAGGATACTGAAAGCCCACAGGTAATGTTCTGACTTTAGTAGGAGTTTTACTGCAGATAATACTTGTGTTTGCTGTTAAAATGCCATTGGAAAGCCCATCTAAAAAATACTGTCTTTTCCTAGCAAGCTTGTATTTAGTTGAGCTAGAAGCAGTTTATTGATTCCTTAAATCTGAGTCAGTTGCTGAGAATTTTTGAATCTATTTTTGAGGCAATTTGAGTTTTTCCAAGGCATCGGCATTTTTCTTTCCCACACCAGTCCCTTTCCCAGGTATGAAATTTGGCCAGCATTGAGCTATGGTCATTTAAAAACCAAAGCAAAATAAATAATCATCTTATCTCTCTATGGATTACATTGAAAGTCTTATTACCCCCTCTCTTATGTCTTTAATTTCATGGAATTGTTTCTTTAATAGCACTTTTGTTAAAATATAATTCACATACCATACACTTCACTCACTTAGCATGTATATACTAGTATATACATCTAGTATATTTATAGGTTTTTGCAACCATTTCCTAAATAACTTTAGAACATTTTTATCACCCCAGAAAGAAGCCCAACACCCATTAGCAGTCACTACCCATTCCCACTTCTCTTAGTCCTGGGGACCACCACTAATTTACATTCTTCCTCCATAGATCTGTCTTGTCTGGACATTGCCATTATAACTTGTGGGCTTTTGTGAATGACTTCTTTTGCATAATCTAATGTTCTCAGTATTTATGGTGTAAAATGTGTCCATATTGAATTTATTTTTATTGGCAGGTGATAGTTCACTCTCTGGATATGCCACATTTTATTTAACCATTCATTAACTGGTGGATTAGATAGTTTCCACTTTTTAATTGTTATGAATATCGCTGCTATAAAATTCTGAACTGGTTTTTAATCAGATATTTCTGTTACTCCAGGGATAGAATTGCTGGCTCCTATGGTAACTTCATGGTTAAAATTTTGAAGAATTCTAAAAATTTTATCATTTTTGTTCTTACATTTAGGTCTTTGATTCACTTTGAGTTTTAAAAATATATATATTGTATGGTAGATAATACCGCGCATACATTATATATATCTACCATATGGTAGTAGATAACATGCAATATATACATTTTATGCATCTACCATATGGTAGAGAAAGTCTTATGGTAAAAGAAAGTCACCATAACAGCTGCTTCTGTCCAGTTTTTACATGTGGGTATACAGTTTTTCTAGCAACATTTGTTGAAAAAAATTATTCTTTCCCCTTGGAGTTGACATTTAAGACTATTTTATTTTGTGGCTGATTTTAGCTCTGTGTTACAACAGCAAAATAAACAAACAAAATCATTACATTTTATCATTTCAATTCATTGAACACATACAGTAGAGAATATAAAGTATATACACATTTGGGATTAAGACATTTTTTTACTTGCAGTGTCATACAGTACTTTGATTTTTTTTTCAAATAATATGATTTTTATAGATAAGAACACTTTAAAACAAAAAGTACCAGAATTGTATATAGTTCACAGTTTATATCTATAGTCTTAGTGCATCTTCATAACTTTTCATGAAGATCATATCATTTTGTTATTGTCATTGTTTTTATTGCTGTCCCCACTTTCAGAGTTAAAAACTGAGATTCAAGAAGTGATGTGACTTGTCTAAGTCACTAACAGCAATAGGTAGAAATGACTTTGCACCAGGCTTTGGACTTGTGACCCAGTGTCTCCCTGGACACAGGTACCTCCAAATCATTGACAGTTACTTTAATGACCCCTTTGGGGTCACCCCAAATTCCGGCCTCTGGACTGTGCCTTTGCCGTCCCATCTTCCCAATGACCATTTATTGGATGCAGCCTGATGCCAGAGAATGTACATGACCTTGGATGAGGCAGGCCCTTTGTCCTATAAAAAGCAATTCCTTGAGAAAGGGTCACTGTGTGTGGCCAGCACTCAGCGGTCAAGAGCTGGCACTCTGATCTGGGGTGAGCGCATGGCAACACGTTAGTGTAAGCACATCCTGCAGAGTGTAGATCTCACCTTTCGCTACGTGTCCAAATCACCATTGGGCCTTTACAAAAATACAGGGCGCTGACTCAACTCCAGGCTTAGTAGTTCAGAATTTCCTGGAATGGGGCCCAAACACCTATATTTTATGATGTTCTTACAGGTAACTCCAGGGCACAGCAAAGACTGCTTAGAACAGTGACATGGCCATGAGTATTAGTGGTGTTCTGTGCTTTTACAGGTGACCTTTCTCCTTTGCCTTCTCATATGTTTTTTAAAAGAAAGTCAACATTAAAGCTATTTCTGAGATGACTTAAAAACTGTCTTGTTTAGGGGTAAACATATGTGAGCACACAGATTTCCTTCATCCTTGCCAGTCTCAGTGTATGTCTAATTTACAAAGTTGCATTGTTGAAGTTGCATTGTCTTCCTGTCACCTTTAACTATAGAGCACATGTGACAAAAGAGGAAAATAATTTTTCACGTTATTGAAACAAGTCGCAGAAATACATTGAGCTCATTGGCCTGAGCAGTGAATCCTGAATTTTGGAACTGTGAACTGCTAATAAAGAGAGTTGGATGAATCTTAACATCAGCCACTCCCCTTATTAGTTTTCTTTAGTGCAGATTGAATACGTACCTATAAGATTTGTTTTTAAGTATTTGGGAGCCTGAAATGATTTTTTTTCTTTAGCATGTTAATTTGTCGTTAAAAATCTTAGCATTTTAAAACTGGAAGGAACTTTCAGATGGTTTATGATTGAACATTTCCCAGTGATCTGTGAACTTCTCCTGAAAGGAAAAGGAATTTGCAGTAAGAGAGCATAGTATGGTAGCATCTGTTGCAGATTGGATCTCATTCTCAGAGGTTTGCAGAGCACACTAAAGCCTGGCAATTTCAAGCTTCCTTTGTAGAAAACGAGTCTATCGAATTTCAAATTGTGTGTCATTTAGCTCTCATCTCTCAGTGGTATCACTTTCTTTGACAGTCACATTTCAAAATGAAAGTATATTTCACTTTCAGACTTTTAGTGGCTATACACACGTAACCTGGAAACATATTTTTTATTTTCCCCATCTGCACATTATTGTTCATCTACTGTGTTATGTCCAACTGTAAATTATGTTTTCATTTAATAACTTCTAATCTGTGGATTTGGATTCTCAGGAAAGGGAGAGGTAGTCTCAAGAAGCTCCTCTTGCAGGCTTTCGGCAGTGGGGGGCGGGCCTCCTTTTTCACTAAGAGTCACGATGTGCTATCCCCAAGCTCCCCCAACTCCTTCCCTCATTGACTTCTCTGTTCTCCACTCATCTGAGACTTGGAACTTCCCTGCCAAAGTCACATGCCTAGCAACAAGTATAATTTTGGCTGTTGGAAAAAAATAGAATAAAGCACAAAGCAGATGGAGGGAAATGACAGTCAGCATTCAGTCTGACCAAGAACACAGCCTCTCTTCCAGGGCCCTCCCACCCTGGAGACACGGGGGTCTTTAAGCTGCCAGCTCCCTTAACTGAGCTGAGCCTTTATTTTTCTGCCACTGCTGGAATCCAGCCCCACACCAATTCCCTGAGGTGATTTCTCTGCTTCCCCCGCCCCTTCCTCCCAATTCCTTCTCAACAGACATAATTCTTTCTAGAAACAGGTCTTTGCAAGGCCTCCATATCCTGATCCATGACCTAGAACCACAGCATATTGTTCATCCAAAGCTTAACTAAGCATAGCTGTGGAAATCTCTGCAGAAAACAAAATGTCTGCTCTAATAAATAAACTATGCCAACCCCCAACTGAATTGAAATCTATCTTTAACAACTCAAATCTGACTAGAGATCAGGAAGAAGAAATTGTAAACTAGAATCTAAAATCATCTGACTTATATCATGAGCGAATAAGCCAAAAGAGACAATAAAACAAACTGATCAAGGTAGAAAACAGTTTCAAAACATAGTGTGCCATGAATGACGGGTGTCTCAGGGTGAAACCATTTTTGCTCATGGAAATTTGACACCCATGTTTTTGCTGTTTTGGTAAACAATCTGAGAGCAAGAGTGCATTTTGTGCTGTAATCACCACACAATGAAAAGCCGACACAATGAAAATAAGCAGTTGATTTAATGCCACTATATATGAATATTAAACTGCATTAAAAATTCACAATTTTGAAAATTGTTCAAACTCTTCATGTTTCCTTCAATTGTAGCAGTGTCAGGTCTGAAGATCTTAGAGGACTAGGTGTGTGAAGACCTCTGTTCATTCCAAATATGTCATCTGTGGATATATACCCTTCTGAGCACATTGATTTGTCTTTCTGCCACTATTTTTTCACCAATAAAGAAATTACATGCCCAACCTAGCTCATAGGAATGGATGTGGAAGCAATTTGGAAACCATAAAGTACCAGCTCGTTTGAGAAATTACTGTTATTTCCAGGAAGTTCATCATCTGGAAATAAACTGGCACTCTATAAATTCAAGTAAGGATGAAGAATGCTCAAAGCAACTGTTTCAGAATTAATATTTATGCTAGCAACAGAACTGTTTTAACTAAAGATTTGTTCACGGTGCCTTATTTTTAATTATTAGACGGCTACTGCTGGTTAAGGAAAACTTGCTTCAATTTCCTACCATTGGCACTTGCTCATCCTGTGATAAGTGTAGACACGTTATGAAAACACAGCATAGGAGAGTCCAACCAGAAATCTATACCTGAATCCTCTTCCTGGGAATCAATTTTGATTCCCTATTGTTGATCTGAGAACACCCTCCCCCAAAGTATAAATTAAAATGAACAGTATCTGAAGCATAATATGAGTTCAGTTTTGTTTTGTTTCATTTTAAGCACTACTTACTTTATTATTCTTTGAAGGTAGATCAGCTTTCTAATAGAAATCATTGGTTGTTTGTTGAATGATAACGTTATCAAATAAATTTCTAGTCTTTCCACATCCAAGGTATTTGACATGCATTCAATCTCATATCAACCTTATGAAATGGTTGTAAAATTATTCCAATTCTACGGATGAGGCAGC